TTAATGAGATATTATATTTATAACCAGCCATTATATTTCTCCAAAATCACATAAAGGAACTTAGGCCATAATTAATTCGTTTGGAAATAATAAAATATTTAACATGGAAATAACCTCATTGTAATTCGTACTTACCAAATCGGAATTCATTACTCCGTTTGACTTTGGCGTTAAATCAAGCGTTTGTCTTTTTCCAATTTCCACATATCGATCTCACCGATGCGTAATTACTACATGTATTGTGCAATCGCCAACTAATTAATCACCGATTGCAACGCTCTAACGCCTTAAACGGACGACGTTGTTTACAGAACGTAGTGACGTTATTGTCCTCGTGTTGTGTTGCCAGCAGCATAATCAATGCCTACCAACAAGGTCAGGGCATCTATAGTGTCACGCGTGTCAAAATATTGTCGTATCTTTTACGTATTTTACACCTGACTCGAATCGATTGGTTATTGATTATTACCCACTAGCATGTTCACAGCATGACGTCAATAGCTTACAAAACAGAATCAATGCCTTCTGTCGCCTCAAGTGATTACGACTAAGATAACGTCGTGTTTTTATATCTGTTCCGTTGACGTCCTTGGTATGGTATTCACCTTGTCCAGAGATCGAGGTAAAATGAAGTGATACGTGTTTACGTCAGTGCCTGGTTTTGTTTTGTGTGTTACTTTTATGTAAACATCCGGGTTAAAGAAGGTTTACTGTAAAAAATTGGATTGGATTGTGGAAAAAACAAAATAGAAAAATTAAAAAATAAAATAGACAAATAGATAAATAAATAGATAGATAGATACATACATAGATACATAGATTGATTGATTGAATGAACGAATAAATAATACAAACAGACAGAAACACACATGCGCGCGCACGCACACACACACACACACACACACACACGAAAAATTCCATCGAAAAAATATTTGTTAGAGCCCGGCAGTTAATCAAACACAATTATATCAGTGCGCGAGTTTAGATGAATGGTTGTTTTGCGTGTCACCTTGCCATGAACTTGAAAATAACGAACATGGGATGTCATTACAAACTTGGGTTTGTTCTCACGATCACCAGATCCTGACATGCCCGGGGGACGCAACTCGGTCGATAACAACTCCTAAGACTCCAGGGCCTAGATTTTCGAAGCTTTCTGAGCGCTATGGCATTCGTAAGTGCCATACATTAACATTAACTTACGACTATCTTAGCGCTAAGAGAGCTTCGAAAACCTTTCTTGAGTTCGCGGCTACCAAGCTTGACATGTGCAGAACTTTTACACCTTCGCTGTGACCTTTAAAATGACCTCAAGGTCACTAAATTCAAGTGGTGTCGGTAAATCTCGTCAATAAACCTTGGTACCAAATTTGAGCAAAATCCATCATTTCTTTCTCGAGTTCATTCAGTAAACAGAAGGGGGAGTCATTTGAACAAGCCATTGTAGTTTCAAATTGCTTTTTTGTGCAGTTTAATATCTAAGTTTGATTCTAGCCGACCTCTGCCAATCTCAAACATACAAAAATGTTTCTTGCATATTTTGTTTCCTGAAGTTTGTGATGCATTTTATTGCAGATTTTACGGGTTTTTTGGTAGTACCAAGCCAAGATACAAAGTCACACAAAATGGGGATCGTGAAGCTGCAACATAGCAAAACCAATTTGCTTGAGGCTGACAGATAATATGTAGAAAAATAAAACATAAAAACAGCTGCATTTGTATCATATTCTAGGTGAGACTGACTACTTTTTGAACGTCTCTCGCAGATATATCCGTTCGAATACCCACCCGTCCACCCCTCCGACTCTACATGCATGTAAGTCTGTTAGATATACCCATTCCACTCTCTTGGAAACTCTACAGTTACGTCTTGGAGTCCCTGGCGATGCGTTATTATGGTTTTTAATCGTATCTCACAGGACGCAAGCAATCAGTTAACATCGTCGGGTAAGGTCTGAGAGCAGAGAATTAAGGTTATATATCGATTATATATCAGGACGAATATCATTTTCGTCATTTAGCTAAGATTTGTCAATTCTTTCTTGGGTTGTCGCGCTAACAATCTTTATATTGGCAAAACCCTCAGACTTTTCCTGTGAATCTCTTGTCTCGGTGAATCTCGCCAATATACCTTGGTACCAAAATTGAACAAAATCCATCATTTCTTTCTTGAGTTATCGCTCTAACAAGCTTATATGATGTATGAAATGCAACGAAAACAAACACACGCGTATTTACGAGTGATAAAACTGTTATTACAATTTACGTATATAGTAATTGCATTTTACCGCAACGTAATTATAATGTACGCCAATTTTATATTACAATTTGCGTATTACAATTTACGTCAATTTTATTACAATTTACGTTTTTATTACAATTTACGTCATGTGTATTACTGCAAGTATTACAATTTGCGTTTGTATTACAATTTACGTCTTAACATCCGCCGTTTCGGCGAATCTAGGGCTGCCGTGGCCGCCTGGAACATAGTGTAACCCAAGCATAAACACTGAACGGTTCCAGATTTTTGCTTTAAAACCATAAAGATACAATATGTGAAGACTATATCAGGCGTCCCCTATCGTTATATTGATATAATATTGAATCCGGTGCAAAACAGGACTCACTCAAAAGCTCACTCACTCTACCTTTGTCATATAAACACAGCACAGTGCCTTGATATCAGAGAATTTACATATTTATTGAATGACAGACATTTGGTCGCGAACCTTACATCAAAGACAAATCTTGGAATGTGCTGCGTCAGCTATCTGTTAATGTCATACGTCCAGACTAAAATGTGGCAGCAGCAGGGTGGCCTAGTGGTTAAAGCGTTCGCTCGTGACGGCGAATGCCCGGGTTTGATTCCCAACATGAGTACAATGTGTGAAGCCCATTTCTGGTATACCCAGTCCTGAATATTGCTGAAAGCGGTGTAAACTATACTCACTCGGCAGACTAAAATAATTGGTTGACAGATTTGAAGCATTTCTCTTGTTGCTTTTGTTTAAAGTGAGTGAGTAAGTTTATTCTTTCGCCGCCTTTAGCAATATTCCGGCAATATCACGGCGGGGACACCAGAAATGGGCTTCACACCTTGTACCCATGTGAGGAATTGAACCCGGGTCTTCGGCGTGACGAGCGAAAGCTTTAACCACAAGGCTACCCCACAGCCCCTGTCCCCTTAAGAACTGCCCTCAACAATACAACAATACATTATCTCCAGGAACTAGTCAACCTCCACAAGCCTGGAAGGTCACTCAGATCAGCTAGTCAGCAAAGCTTAGATATTCCTTTTGTCCGAACCACAACATACGGGGACAGATCATTAAGCAGAGGGGTTCTGTACTCTGGAATGGATTACCTGAAAATGTCAGAAAATCGGAAAATATCAACAGTTTTTCCGATCTTGTCTCAAAACCATCCTCTTCAAAAGAGCATTCGACTAAGCGCACATGAGCAGGACTCTGGATATGTAGCGCTATACAAATGTCTAATTTGATTTGATTTGATATACCCCTTAGAAACCCACCCCCAACCCACCCCCACTTTATATGTATACACATCAAAACCTCAACAGATATTTGCGAAAAGAAATGATACAGAGGACAGTTAGAGATTTTATATCGATTATATATCAGGACGAATATCATTTTGGTCATTTGGCTAAGATTTGTCAATTCTTTCTTGGGTTATCGCGCTAATACTCTTTATATTGGCAAAACCCTCAGATGTTTGCTGTGACCTTGCAAATTATCTCAAGGTCACTCAATTTCACTTGTTTCGGTGAATCTCGCCAATATACCTTGGTACCAAAATTTAACAAAATCCATCATTTCTTTCTTGAGTTGTCACCCTAACAAGCTTATATGATGTATGGAATGCAACGAAAAACAAACACACGCGTATTTACGAGTGATTAAAACTGTTATTACAATTTACGTAAATATTTACTAGTATTACATTTACCGCAACGAAAATTATTACAATGTACGTAAATATGTATTACAATTTGCGTATTACAATTTACGTCAATTTTTATTACAATTTACGTCAAGTTTATTACTGCAAGTATTATAATTTGCGTTTGTATTACAATTAACGTCGTAACATCCCTGTTTCGGCGAAACGGGGCTGCCGTGGCCGCCAGGAACATAGTGTAACCCTAGCATAAACACTGAACGGTTCCAGATTTTTGCTTTTACCATAAAGATACAATATGTGAAGAATATATCAGGCGTCCCTATCGTTATATTGATATAATATTGAATCCGGTGCAAATGTGTATATTCATTAGGACTGGAAAAGTTTCCGTACAGTGGGACCCTTAAATATTGGGTTTAGAATTAATCTTCTGCAACCTGTCCAAAGATGCAAAAAAACAAGATCGGGTGGTCAGGCTCGCTGAAATGGATGATGCATGCCATCGTATCCCAAATACGTAGATCCCTGCTTATGATATCAATCACTGGACTGTCTGGTCGACTTATCTACAGACTGCGTCGTGTACTTTTAATATTACTGAGTTAGCGTTAAACGACACATAAACAATTCTGCTGAATGTAACTCAAGCGTCACTCAGAGAATCCTCTTCATTTGCACTTTAAAAAAACTCGCTCTGATCCAGGACCAAAAAACGTTCAATTTCATTTCTATACCTAATAAACATCGACTGCAATAAATAGCAAACTTCCGTACCAACAAACACGGCACGCGATGAACACAACCATATTGCATTCAATTATACGTTCCCGGAAGCCGAGGACTCTGATGTAATGATGTTTAGAACATCAATGGATTCTCTCTTGTGTTTGATGTGGGATAATCTGGCGCACACTCCGGACAAATATTCCCCAGCGGCTAAGCTCTACTTCCGAGTCACAATGTGCCATGTAGCTTTGTTTGGTAATCTAAAAGCTTAGCAGTTAATATTATTTGATGTATAAGGTCCAATAGCTAGGTGACATGGGTATGAGATTGGTGCATTTCTACAGAGACGTGCATACCCATGTGCGTGCGTGCGTTTGATTGGTTATACCTGCTTGGATATCAGTTCTCTAGGTACCATTCTATGGTTGAAGACGGAGATCCTTCTCCATTATCTTTACCTCCTTAATGCCAAGCGTTAGGGGAACATGAAGTACCATCGTCTTTTGGTGTAAGGCGGCCAGGAACCAAACCACAGACCTTCGACTCACCTGGCAGACACTTTGTCCACTAGACTACGAAGGCAGCCATCTTTCACTGGATGTCTGTTTATATGTACAACAAAGGTATGTTAAATTGTTATTGTATCTAAAATAATGTACTTGATCATACAGATGTATTATGATAATTGCAAGGATAATCACGAGACGCCATTACGATCATCGAAACCTGTTCACAACATATCAGTTTTTTTGCTTGACGCTTGAGTAATGTTGAGATAAACCAGTAAATTTGGTGAGGTTGTGTGTGCATCTGTGTGCCTTCAGGAACATTCATGCTTAAGCACGACAACATATAATATACAGTCCAGGGTCCAGATTTTCGAAGCTCTCTTAGCGCAAAGATAGTCGTAAGTGCCATACATTAACCTTAACTTACGACTATCTTAGCGCTAAGAGAGCTTCGAAAATATAGGCCCTGGTGTCCGCAGTCATCTTTCACTGGGTGTCTGTTTATATGTACAACAAAGGTATGTTAATATATCCGACATAATGTAACCGATCATACAGATTTATTGATGAGGGATGGCCTATGATCATTACCAAAATTAATTACTAGACGGCTTTATATTCAGCAATATTCAAGATGAAGGGCAACAGCCTGTATAAAAACGATCAATCAGGTGATTGATAGCATGAACAACGACCAAGGATATCAGGATACGCATCATTTACCATGGCAACTAGCCTGTCCATCAGATCCATTAGGTTGTCTCTAAGGGCCATTATAGGTTGTTTGGAAACAGTCCTACTCCAGAAATCTCGCGGAGTCTTCTATGTTGTTATCGCAAAGAGAAGATCGCTCCTTGCATGGCATAAAGATTCAGAGAGACAAAAACGAACTCTCCACAAGAGGATGACTTCATCTTTCCAACGTTTAACTTTCCTTTAATGCTGAGCAATTTTCCAACATCATCCGTTGGTGTCTACATTTCAGAACGTTTGAAGTTCAATCGAGCATGTTCTTTCTGTTAATATTTCACTGTTCTCTGCAATAAACTAGAAGTTGTCATCCATAAAGTTGTAGTCATCGTTACTGAGTTTATAACTTCAAGATGGCGAAGTTGGGGCCATGCAGGTAGCAAAAGAACTTAAGTCCCCACTGCCCGGAGTATGGTGATCTACCTTTAGTTGTTGGCGATCTATAGCCTGTTTGTATTTTGTTTCGTTCTCTTTAATAATATCGTTTTATGATTACATGCTAGTTTGACCTTGATATATGTGATGCTCTAGTAGTTTTACAGTTCTTCAACGACAGGCTTTTAATTTCAAATTTTATTCATATTTGATATAATAATTAACTGTTGAAATATTGTAGATGTGGCGATATATATGAACTAACTCACTCTGTAGAAGGCCGATCAAACAATAACAGCATTTGTTTTGTTACGCAATGTCACGTGACCAAGGCCACATACATCACCTGCAGCAGGCAGATTGTCCAGAGAGTCCAGTATGACATTACACGGCAACTGTTGAAACACGCCCTCTGGTCGATATAAGGTCGGGGAGTTAGGTATATATGGCCACTTGGCTTGTAGTACACGGCGCTCAGAGACTTATAACTTGCAGTGGTGATTCGGTGAAGGTATGTTGATTTAATTCCTTTAATGGTTTCTTTTTTTAAAGCAATTATTCCATGATATATGAGGTAAACCAAACTCGCCGAATAACTTCATCTGATGTGTATAGGTGGTATCACTTAGAGGGCCAAGTAAGTGCCTTCAGCTTTAGATTGGTATGGAGGGGCCCAACGGTCATGGTTCGGAGTTACGTCCCTTAGTCACGCTAGGATCCTGCTCCTCTTGTTTATAGCTTGACGGCTTGTTTCCAAGCATTGCTGTTGTGAAATTCTTTTATCACCAATAGATAGAAGCGACAAAACCTTTCCGCATTCATAGAAATCTCTGCAAAGAGCAGAGTCGATTGTACAGTTATATATCATGAGCATATATGTGTTTCAGCAGCATTACCGCTGTACGATTATGTTTGTAAACTAATCGAGTCTGGACCAGACAATCCAGTGATTGTCCCCATGCGATACGATGACAGAGCATGTGTTTATGAATCACTATGAAATAGTGATGATACCAGTGTCCTGCCCCACCCGTAGCACCCGTCATATACATATGCAAAGTCTAGTTAATTGTTTACCTGAAATAATTCCGGAACGTCCGGCACAAGGGAAAATAGGGAATTGCCTTGGACATCATTTATTACTGCAAGGGTTTGGTCAAGATTTGCTGATGATACAAAGAAATCAGTTCGAAGGATGGTCATGCAACTTTTGGCAATGAATAGCTACTAAATATGCCATTACTTATTTAAGTTCTGTTTCTATAATTACGTGTTAATGTAACCACCCAAGCAAATGTGTTTCCTTACAAAATAAATACACAATACGTTTGTTAATTCGATTTAATATGGAATTATTATCATGGAGTATCCTTAAATAATATGTTGCTTTATAACTGATCATGAATTTTGTTTGTGTCTTTTAACTGTGAAAGCGAAAAATTTGGATACTTTGATTTTGGGTTCAATATCAGAATGGTAGTGGCGATATATTTTCGGAAACCGAAGAAGAATGAGATTCATGATGGCCGACAAAATGGCGATTATAAAATAGGCGGACATGAAGAGTAGTATAGGCAATAGAGTACCGGATCACCCGTCATTATTCAGCTTTTTCACCCTAATGCGGCTCCTACATCCCCAACTAAAACAGAGTAAGTTTGGTGGATCATCATTTGATGTCATCCACACAAATTGTGTCGTGCGAGAAGAGTTGCTCTATTGTTTCTGGCGACACAGTATTACCCCATGTTTGTTATACTATACCCTGGTTTAAATGTCACCGTCTGTCCAGGAGAAAATGTGGCATTATATCCAGGGTGACATTATAACCAGGTAGGACAGTTAGTGGTTCTATGCAACCAACAAGGTGATTGAGCTGATGTCTCCTGTAATGAGCCTTGAATGACTGGATAATCCCAGCGTCTAGGGGCTGCTGGTGACTTGTTCTAGGTGGCAGGAGGTGTATTGTCACACGTGATATCCCCTCTGGGGTTACATGACTACTTAAAGCAATAATCAATTTGTCAATTAATTTGAGTCTTGTCAATTAACCAATACATGCAGCTAGTGTAATTGGCATTATAACCAGGGGAAAATGACTTTTGTTCCAAAAACCACTGGCAATTGGCATTCAGTTTGGCATTATAACCAGGGTATTATATACTCATGCCAGTAATGGTTGTCACCCCCTTCAATTTTTAATTGGAGGGGGTGGGGGTGAGGGTTGTGGTGGGGATGGGGGTGACAACCATTATTGGCATGAGTATATATGAAGGAAATCCGTTCTGGCAAAAACATGGCATTATATTCAGGGATCAGATTATAACCAAGGTGCACTGTAGTTGCAGTTGTCGATATTTTAAACATTAATTATGGCTTTCTTTCTTTCTTATATGGAGGCAAATATATGTTAAGGTCCACTTTTCAAGGGCCTATAATTTAGTCCAAATATAAATCATCAATTCTATCCCCAACCCACCCGGAGCCTCTATCAGTCCATTGCCTTAAAGCATCTTGTTTTTTGTTGGAATGATGTATCAGTGTATTGTGATAGATTTATAGAATCTGACTCAGTTATTACTTCTTGGTTGGTTCTGAAATGAGGTTTAATATACTATGTAGTGTCAATCGTGGTGTTTTTTGCTTAGTGATATTTTGACCGTTAACTTGTACTTAACACTGTTTACGGCAATGGTGGAATTAACATCCATCCTCCGACCTCTCAGGTAATTACCAACGGCATGTTCTGCCGGCACAGATCTCAACTCTATAGGTGCGACATCAGCGCTGCAGGTATGGCAGACCGTGATTCAGTAAGGCAATTACGCCAGCTTTTAACATACGAGAATAACCTCCCAGCTCACGATTTCTCGCCTGGGCTGTTAGCTCTCTTACGGTCGGTGGTTTGGTGTAGATCAAACCGAGTAATGTAATCAATTCATCTTTTCTCATACGAGAATGACCTCCAAGCCCACGATTTCGTGTCTGAGCTTCGACATCTCAGACAGTAGTCATGTTTATAATTTAGTGTTATCAAATCTCTAAATGGTGGTCAGTGAAAACATAAATTTTCTTAACAATAATTACTAGGTAAGGTTAAATGTTAATTTTGAGTGGTCTTCATCGTTTGTGTATATAATTGTTGTACCTTTTAAACAATTTGGGCTAAATTCCTTCCGGACTACGGTTTATGGAAGGACGTTTTTACCTCACCCCACTTTTGGTATGAACCCATACCTTGACTACATAGCTGATTGGCAGTCGATGGTCACTTCAACTTACTGAATATATCAGGGTTGTAAAAGCCTCACTATCTTTTGGAATTGGTTTCCAATCTTCTTTGAATAAGATTGAAATACCCGTCAGTGATTTAGCAGGCACATTCTGATTGATCTTCCACAGTGTGTCACTTTTGTCCTTGGTGATCTTGCACTGGCGAAGCACACGATCATACAATATCGTTAAATTCCCAGTATACAGATTCCAGGGGCGAAGCTACCATTATTAAAAAAAGCCCGGGCTTACACATGATTGTTGCTAAAAAGGGTTGGGCAAGCCCTCAATGCTATCTAACTATAAAGCTTTGTAACCTATCGGGCGTACACGAAAAATTTGGCTTGCTACGCGTCTGGATTCAGGATCTGGAACAATATCATACTTGCGTGAGATAACATCAATGGAATAGCAGACTGTTGTGTTATTGTTTGCTTTGATTACGCTGTCGTATGACTTCTTTAGTTGGCATTCTAGAAGTTGAGGAGATGAAGAATGGGGACAATTTTTATGGATATACAACTTCTTTATTCTGTATAGGCGACGTGTCGACATATAGTCCAATGTAGCTGTCAAGCAAGTTGGTTGACAACTACATTAGAATCTGACCGCCTCCGTGGTGTAGTGGTTAGAGCGTCCGCCCGGAGAGCGGAAGGTCGCGGGTTCGATCCCCGACCGCGTCATACCAAAAGACGTTAAAATATGGTACTTGTTGG